AAAACAAACATGACTTAGCTATTTAATCATTTCCTTGTATGTGAATGCCTCCATCCAACAAATATTCATGATGGTCACAATTATTATTCAATCCATTTGATGTCATCATTAGCATAACAAACAATTGCATCACTCAAGTAATAAATAACACCAAGGCCATGCAAAATGAAACTTTTAATAATGCGTGACTGCTCAGATCACAAGAATGAATAATAAATCTGATGTTGATCACAGGTGTCAGATTTAATTAAAATTTCCTATCACAAAACATGCAAGTGTCATGCAATTGCACACCTCAAACCATGAGGTTTTCCATTCCTACAGAAGAGGTAAATTGAACAAGTTGGAAGGCTTTGGACAAAACATTCCCTTATCTTCCCCTCAGACCAGGCTTGGCTGTTAACATACAGGCATTGATCACTGATGAGGATCAGCATTTGTGTGATATACCTCTCTAGAATAAAGTTGGTGTCTGCAACTGGTGTGAAATTCTGCAACTTGGGAGGTTGCAACCTGGGTTATTGTTTGGATTTTCCCTGAATTCCAAGTTTTGAGTCCTGGTTTGCTGTCTTGTTAGTGGCACGCCTGCTCACCAACAACCCTACCCATGTTTAAACAACAAATTCAGTTGGTCAAACAAAAATTAGAGAAATAGAAAATTTATGAACCAATTTATGCATAACATACCAAACAAAATCTCAACCATTTTATTTTACAGCTTTCCTCGCAATGTCAGAGCCCAAATGCAATTTCAGAGGCCACCAACCCTGCTCTGAATTGTAACCTCCTGTGGTTGAAACAAGTTGCAGATTCTCTTAATATTCCTCCAGCCATCCTTGCCCTAGAGGTGGAATCGTTGGAGGCAACTTTTTGGCTAGCGTGCCAGCAGCCTTCTCTGGTCTGGGAAGATTAGTGAAAATGTCATTGACGATTGATGCAGCCTTGGTAAACTCCAGGGCCATGTCGCCCCCCCTGGAATTCGGTTGCATCATTGTATCATCATGGGAATCTTAGTCAGATTAGCCTTATGTACACGAGGAAGATGAGAGAATGACTGTAAAGTTCAAGGCAGCGTGCGTGCTTCAACGCCTGCCAATTTTCCGATAATCAAACATCGCATATCGAATGTTTTTTCTGCAACAGTCAATGCTGCCTTGATATCTTGTAATTATATATTAATATTAATATTAGTAACGATTATGCAAAGTGAAATACCAATCGTTTGTTCACCATCTTATAATTACCCAGCAAGATCTGTTCCACGTTTTGATTCCAATTAAAATATTTATAAAGGATACCACATTATATCAATACAAATAAAAAAAAAGTACCTCTGGTTAGTTATTAACACTTCTTCTTTAGGAGACCCAAACCAAACCAAACCAAACAACAACACTCACGTTTTGTCTTTGAAAAATATGATTGTTTTTCCAAAAAAAAAAAAACAATTCGCGTCTGTCCTCCCAAAAAAAAAACCAATAGGATAAATAATTAATGTGTACCGTCGATCAAATAAACTTTTTTTTTAAAAATTTCTTAAAAAAATGTCCTACCGTCCAAAGAAACGAAATCAAGAAGAAGGTGTTGGTGCAGCGATTGCTGAGTAAGTGTTTTAAGAATAAGGTGGTTATCGCCACCACTCGTCACTCTAGTTAATTTAGAATTACAACGAACAATCCTGATGATGGTAAATCTACTTCTGTAAGTAAATTGCATTTCTTTAAATGGATAGAATTGATTATTTTGAAAATAAATGTATGACCAAAGCTTACAAATTGTGTCAAACTTACTTTTTTCACTGATCAAGTCGGAAGAAAAGCAAGATCAGTAAGCACATTAAAATATTATCTTGAGTTAGCTGATTTATATATCTTGCAATTTAAATTCTTTGCATATACTTTTAGATTATTGGAAATAATTAAAATATTCGAAAAATCATCAACTATATAAGCGATTACCTAATTGATTTCATATTCTCGTATCCTTTTAACATTAATGGACACAAAGAATCTTTATTATTATACATATATTAAGCCTTAACTGATTTTTATTATGTGTTTACCAGGTACGATGATTATATAAAGTCAGAGGAAATGTCAAGTACAATGGGTTTGTATAATTTTGTGGGGGGGGGGGGGGTTTTAATAAAAAAATCACTGATTAATTTTTTAAATAGAAGAGTTGAAGAATCACATTAATATGATAATGAATATAGTTTGCGGGTGGCTTGAATTTTCATGGGGAAAAGATAATGAGATAAATGGCATTAAAATTGATAAGAATTATACATCGGAAGAAATACATTTGTTAATAAATAAGAAAAAGAATGATATCGAATGGTGGTACCAAAAATCTGTCAAGCTAGATCATTACTAATGATCTAGCTTTAGGGTTGTTAAATGGAGCAAAATGTTCTGGCATCAACCCGGGTTATGTACCACTCCATCATGGAGTGGGTTAAGTTTTCTAATTTTTTGTACCAACCTGGAGCAAAATATTTTATTATAACCCGGGTTACTATATAATTTTGCTCCAGGTTGCTCCAGATTACTCCAGGTTGCTCCAAATTATTTTAGTAATTTGATGTAACAATTTAAATGATAATAAATAGACTAACTTATTTATATTATATTTTCATCTAATCAATTAATTTGTTAATTTTGATTCTTGTCTGTGAATTTTATTATGAATAAAATACTTTCATTACGAAACCTTATGCCATTATATAAAATTAATAATCAATTAGAAAACATTAGAATTAATACACAATCACAAGGAAATAAAAGATCATATTTTGAATTTCTTCTTACTGATCAAACTTCTGAAGAAAGACCTACAGATGATGAAATAACTTGATATATATCAGCACCCATTGATATTAATACTAATCCATTAGAATGGTGGCAATGTTTTGAAAAAGATTTTCCTATTCTTTCACAAATAGCATTATGTTATTTAAGTATTCAAGGTTCTAGTGTACCTTCAGAACAAGCATTTTCCATAGCATCAAATACAATTACCAAGATTCAATGTAATTTGAAACCTGAAACTGCATGTGCAGTTATGTGTTTAAAAAGTTGGATTCAACAAGTTCAAGATAAAAAAGAAAGTGATAAGTTTGAAGAATCTTTTTTTTTGGAGTGTTAATAATTAACATGGGGCATACTGCAACAAAACCAGACAAAGTGAACGTTGGTATTACCAAGAATTTCAGGGTTCTAAATTTAGTCTCAATTAAGGATGTTAGCCAAAATAGTTTTTGAAAAAATCAATTTCGGCAAATTTATAATGTTCTTTATTATTATATCGGCGCTATTGAATTAAAGTGTTCAAATAAGTTAAGTTAATTCGGCAACTATCTGAGACAATTTCAGCTAACATGCATGTTTAGTATATTTATTCTTCAATATGGTGGGTGATAATAATAAGAAATTTTTTGTTGTTATTTTTATTTAAAGAAATAGTAAAAATTTTTTTCTAAAAAGTTTATTGTAAAGCTTATTAAACCCTATTATTTATTTAATAAAACTTAATTAAAAAAATTCTAATTATATTCTCTCTTTTTCAATACTGCAATAAGCCAGGGTTGGCAAATGTGTGGTCCATTGGTGGTCCATTGATGGTCCATTGGGTCCATTAGTGTAACATTTTAACTATATTTAGTATTTTATTAATGGCAATGGACCAGCTCAAAGTCCATCAGTTCTCAATGGACCAGTCAATTTGCCAACCCTGCAATAAGCACAAAATATATAAATATAAAAAAATTTTAAAAAATATGATTTAGTTTAAAATTCCTAAATCTTGATATTTCGTTATGTATTGTTCAAGAATAAAATTTTGCGCTTTGATTGTAAAAGGTACAATTCCTTTCCAATTGTTTATAAATTTGTCGAATAAATTTTCGTTGAGATTTTTAATCTTACAGGAAAAGCTTATGGTTCTCAATTTTCTTGGTGTTGTTTGAAGGAGTAATCGCAAAATATTATTGCTGCTGATTTTTTTATTGCTGCGATCATTTCTAAATTCAACGCTCTCTAGCTTACTATTATTATCAATTATTTTTATTAATTCCTGATCTACCTCTTTTCTATAACATATTGATAATTTTATTAGGTCCTTACAATGTTGTGCAATTGTTTCAAATTGCAGACCTAAAGATTCTGGATCCTCCAGGAAGCCGCCAAGATCTAAATGTTTAATTGTTTTCCCATTAATCTCCATAAATTTTATGAAACAATTTAACTGAGATAAGTCAGGATCCAATACAGATGAAAAATCGCTATCAACACGTAAAAATATATAATCAATATTTGGGAGTGAAACATCTTCCAAATAATTTATTTTCTTGTTAGAAAGTAACAATGTCTAAATTTTTCAGTGTTGATATTAACCTAAAGTCTATATTATTTTCCCCGTTGCTTAGATAGTAAACTATTGATTGTGAATGTGTCTGCATTGCTTCCTTTATATTATTTGATAAAGTTGTAATAATAATATCATCATCTGACTCTTCCACATTACTATTAATGACTATTAATTCTTCTATTTTATTTTGTGTTAAAATTAGTCAAGCTAATGAGACTTCTTTTTTTTTGTCATCATTAATAATATAATCAATTCCAATTGATTGGATAGATTTGCAGATGTTTGTTAACTTGCCAATAAATTTGGAATAGGATCTGCTAGAAAATTCACAGTCTAGTTTGTTAAGATAATTAAAGCGATCAACAAATTTATGATGCTTATAGATTAAACGAAGGTCTAAATTTAATGTGCTAAATTCTTTGATTACTCCTGAATTATCTAAAATAAAATTCACTAAGCTATTCCGTAAAATTTCTTCTGATTTAGTAGAACCAGTAGTCATTATTAATTCTTTAAGTTGATCATTGTTAATAAAATAGAAGTAAAGTCTAGTACAAAATTTTGCATAATTAATTAATGGCAGGGTTGGCAAATTGACTGGTCCATTGAGAACAGATGGATTTTAGACTGGTCCATTGCCATTAATAAAATACTAAATATGGTTAAAGTGTTACACTAATGGACCCAATGGACCACCAATAGACCATCAATGGACTGCACATTTGCCAACCCTGATTAATGGTGGTTTATCCAATAATTCAAATGTTAATTTGACATTTTTTCTAGTCAAGAAATTTTTGTCTTCTTTTAATAAACAATTGATGATTATTTTGGTGCTATCGAGTGAGTAAAATGGATCTTTCCATAGAGCTGGAATATTGAGATTGTGCCATTGTTTATTTACAAGAATACATGAGTGTAATGTATCATAATCATCATCATTATATTTAAATATTTTGGCCAGGAGTTTGATCGGTAAGTTAGCTACTACTTTATCGCTGGTAATTAATAAAAATAGTTTATAATAATTGATTAAGATAAGGACAAGTGACAATAACTTTTTTTTTAAAAAACAAGTATTGTAATGATTAAACTAAAGTGACGAGTTGTAACCACATCCATTTTTAACAATTTAACTAGAGTGACGAGTGACAGTGGCGATAACTACCACCATCCTTAAAACACTTACCCAAACACCGACGCACCAGAGGTATTTGTTTGTTTTCTTTTTTTAGAGTCTTTTTTTGATGCCATTTTGTTTTTTTTAAACTAAAAAAAAAAGAAATTATTTATGTATTAGTCAGACGACATTTCACACAATCGACATGTCTACTGTAATAACTATATAGAAATTTTGTGCAACATGTCAATTTTTACTATTAAAATCAAAGGATCGTCACTAGTACACCACGTGAATTTTTAACCAGAAACGTGATGTTTTGTACACACATTCTTTGAGACTTATTTTATCTCTTTGCAGAATTTTAGCTATGGTTTACTAAAAAAACGGAAAAGAATTACTCGTTGAAAGTTATGCCTTCAATTCCTAATAACGTTGCAACAAATTATTTTGAACTTGTAATTTCAATAAAATATAAATAGGAAACCACCATTTGGTTTTTAGAAATAATATTACATCATTGGTAGTCAAATGAGGCATGGACAATGGAACAAGGTTAACTTATAATTCCTTAATAAATAATAATAAATTAGTGATTCTTTACTAAATAAGCTTTATTTCTAAGATTAGAATAGCTGATGGTAAATTATTGGAAGATACTGCTTAAGTGAATAAAAGTAATAGTGACAAGGATTATATGTTTTATATATGATCATTGGTTATTTCAACATAAATATGTACATTAATTAATTACATTGAATTGTTAAAAGATTTCAAAAGATGGTGGTAGTAAGTTGCCTTAAAATTTTGTTTTGGATCAAACATTTTGTATATATAATTTATTTATTTAAAAATAAAATGATAAAAATAATAATATAACAGTAATGAACATTTACAAAGTTTGTTTAGCATATAAATAAATTTTAATTTTATTGAGTTTTAAAATTTTAATCTTTAAATATAATACAAAATTTTAGTTAAAAATTTACTTGCTACGCATGCAACTCACAACTAGTCATGGTGTAGAAATAAACACCCTGTTTTCTTACTACATCTTCCTCATAACTAGTAATGGCGTAGAAGTAGATTAGCAATTTTTGTTATTGGAAATAAACGTAACAGAAGTCATATGCAGCAAGTAAAAAAAAATATGTGTATGCATGATGATGACAACCTTCATATGATGGTGATGATGATGATGATGATGACAATGATGATGATAGTTGCGTAATCAACTAAGAATTTATTTTAAAGAAATCATTTAGGTAATTAGTAAGGAAGGTGAACAACCAGAGATGATTAAAAATTAATTTTGATAATTACCTTGAAGCCATTATTTCATCATCATCATCATCATCATCATCATCATCATCATCATTAGTAGTAGTATTAGATCATCATTACTATTGTTGTTGTTTTTGATTGTCATTTGCTGTTTTAGCTGTTGACGAAAAACATTTTAATATTTGAATGTTAAAAAGGTTTTTTTAAAGGCGGGAAGAAAAAATTTTATTAACCTAGTTACAAAAAATTTTGTTTTACCATCTTATTGTTTTATAATTTATTGTATATAGTAGTATTGCCATTATTATTGTTGTTGTCATCAAATAATAAATAATAATAATAAAATTTGATTAATTTATTAAATTGATAATAATATTAAATCCAATATTAAAAAACAATAATGCAAAAAAAAATGTTATAATAAATAACTTATAAAACCGTTTTTTGCCTTTAACTTCTCCCTTCCCCAAGAAAACTATACGAACTATATATTTTCTGAAAGCTCTCAATGTACTCTGTTTTATCATGCTAAAACGATCTTAATAAAGCTGATTTCCGAAAAGAATTAAGCTTCCGAAGTCAAAAACTATAGGTTTCTTTGAGAGCCTATTACTCCATAACCAGAAGAGCTACTGACACATAAAGCTTGCATTTTAAAGGACAAATGTTCGTGATTGTTTTTACTTAGAGCCACAAAAATTGTGACGTGAATTAATTTTTTTTTTTTTTTTGGAAAAACAATTTATTTTTTGACAGCTGATAAAACGCGAGTGATGTTGTTTGGCTTGGCTTTGGGTCTCCTAAAGAAACGTGTTAATAACTAACCAGAGGTGACTTTTTTTTAATTTGCATTGATATTTTTTATTTTATATAAATATTTTAATTGGAATCAAAACGCAGAGCAGATCTCGCTGGATAATTACAAGA